ATCGTCCCCTCATTCCCCTCATGGCGCAGCTCGCCGGCACGGACCCCTGAAATGATGGCTTTTTTCCTCCTAGCGTGAAGATTTTTGGCCCAGAATTGCTCTTTCCACACGCCCCCCCTCATCATCGCCACACGCACCCTAAGGTGGGTAGTTTTGTGCCTAATTCTTTCTCTTCCACCGCTTTTCTACTTCGCAGGGGTTGAAGCCACTAGCTCCCGCTCGCCTCACGGCATGGAAAATACCCAAACGCGCTTTAAAAAAAACACACCAAAAGCCAACCCCAAAACACCCGAGGATTGATTTATCTTCAGAGCCGGAGTGGCTCGGGGAAGAAGCCGTCGCCGCTCGCCTTGCTCCTCACGACAACCTGCCCGCCATTCGGTTAATTAAAAGCACGTACTTGGTGTGATCAGACGTGGTAATACCGTAAAAAAAAATAATACCCCGTAACATCCAAACGCTCGTTGTTGGAGGCTGCAGCCAAGGTACCATGTACGCTTTTTTAATGTATTTTTTTAATGTTGCCTTACCTTTTTTTCTGCACCACAGTGTTGTTACAGGCTACGTTATAACATTGCCCCCCTCTTTGTTAAAAACCACATGCCTAAATATACTACTATTTTTCCTGGAATTACAGATTTAGGCCCATACAGATGCTCTTTTATTTCTACATATATAGAAATATTTCTGTATATTTAGTAGATATTTATATATCTATATATGTATCTCCTTTTTCCAGGGGTGGAAATTTGTGCCTGAATGTTTTATTTGTTCCACAGAGATGTAGATTTTCCATGGGAGATTTGGGGAGGACTTTTTTTTTTTTTTTAATTAAAAGAGGAAAAAATACACCCAAAAAACCAACAATAAAAGAGAACCAAAAAGAAAAAAAAGGCACACAAAAACAAACCCCAGTAACTGAAGCTGCAAATGCAATCAAATAGTCCGGATCAGACAATTCATTGCAACAAAAAGAGAGGACAAATTAGTTCAACTGAAATGGCAGGGCTTTGCTGTAGATCCGGGAGGAGGGATCAGCTCCTTTATCCCACAAAAACCCCCCCCCCCCCCCCCCCCCCCCC